CTCCGTCACATAATGAGTTTTGTTTTTTTTTTTTTCTTATTGATCGAGGAATTAACAATAATTTATGTTTTTACTTATATGATCCTTAAAAAAGAGAGAAAGATAAATGCTTTTTATGATAGAGTAAAAAATTAAAGTTAAGGGATACTAATAAGATATAAATAAAGAAAAAATAATTCTTTTTTAGAATATACAAAAACGACTACTATTAATTTAGGGCATATTTTGACCAAAGAAATGGAGTAGTCTTTGCTCTTAAATAAAATACTTTTCTACTTTGTGTCCTTACAGCTAAAAATGTGTGTATTAACTGTATCATTTTCTCAATAATAGATAAGAAAATAAAAACTAATTTAATTTTATCAATCTCTCAATTTAAATTATGGCTGTGCCAATGATGTTGAAGATGAAATTGTGTATTTTCCTATATAATTTTTAAAAATAAAATTATTACACCTTTAATATATGCTTAAGACACATTAAATAAACCATTAAATAAATTTCATTTTCATTTATACAAGATGCAGTAAAAAAATTTAAACACAAAATAGTTTCATTTTCATTTTCATTTATACCAGACGCAACCAAAAATAATTTCCTTTATTAATAACTTCTTTACCTAATTCTCATTTTTCCGGCAAATTAAACTGAGGGTTTCTTTCTAGGCATATCGAAACACGGGAACACTGAAGCACAATCGCGATCACCGATAAATTCGGGATCCAACTTGCGTCGGCCGAGGTACCACGAAATCTTCTGCAAGAATCACTGAAGAAAATCGGAGTCCTAGATCACATCAACCAAGGGATCACAGATACGTCTAATCCTTAACAAATCACAGGTATATCATCTCTAACTTTCTTCCATCCCTTCTTGACAAATATATTTTACCTTTTCTTGTCACCCTACAATAGAGGATTACTTCTCATGATTCCGTACCCTTTTTTTTTTTTAATAATTTCTAAAATTCTACTTGCAGAGATCTGGAAATTGTCGAGAATCTAGATACATCAGTAGCACAGTACGAGTGTCAGTACCGAATTAAAGATTCTTAAGGGCTTGTTTGGAATGATACAGCTTGGGATGGTATTGGACTGGATAAAATCAATAAAATGGGATTGGATTAGATTTAAGAAGGATAATAATTGTCATCTCTCATTTCTAGATTAAGAATAGTCTAGATTAAGAATCAGCTCTCAATCACTTGATGCCCCATTTGGTAAACAAAACCAAAATCTCAACCACAAAAGCTAACCATGCAGAGAAATTCATCTATAATGGCTTAAAAAAACCTGTTCCATTCTAGATTCATTAGTTGGAAAAGTTTAGTTATACAACTTTGCTGCAGATCTTCAATATGCGAAGTAATGAATGAATGAATGAATGAAAACATAAGGGGAAACGAGTAGAAAGTAAGATATAATTTTAGTTACTTTTGAAATAGAAAGGAAATCATATTTAAAGTCAGAAGATAGAGAAGCAGAACACTACTTGTGAAAGTGATAAATCTCTGGCATGTCTTCATCTTGTGAGTACTATCTTGTGAGTAGTATTAAGAGATTCAAAGCCGATGACCCCTATTAAACAGTTCCCTAAACCCAATCTGCTAAGAACTTTAGCTGCATGGACTCAAAGAAGATGATCCCTTTAAAGCAGTCCTTTAACCAAATCTACTAAGTACTTTAGTTGCATGGACTCTATCCACATTTGTGACAATCTATTTAACATAAGAGATTAAGTCTTGTTAGAAGCCATTCCATCCTTCAATATACATCAGAATTTTCTAAAGCACTAATCTCACAACCTATTAAAACCATTAAGCATTATCAAAACATCTCAAAATCAATATTGACAAATGATAACAAAACCAAGCAAAACTCAGAAAATTGCCAACTAAAAAAAGAAACTGAAAATGAGAAGTCAAATTCTATAATGGATAGCCCAACTGCAACAAAGAAGCATATTTCAAATCTTTCCATAGCTATGAATTCAAAGACTTAAAAGTTGTTATGTCAATACAGCAATTCCTTTCAAATGAAACAACTTCTCCTTGCTGAACTCAAGCATAAGTTCAGCTAGATGGGGTACATAATTTGACCTGGTTTTAGACCCAAAATAACTATTAATACTCATCTATGTCAAAGACGGCTAATTAAATGAAAGAGGTGAAATAATAATCACATGAATTAAATCACCAACCAAAATTTCCATCAAGAACTATCCCCACTGGAGAATGCAGATAAAAGAAAGAGCAAATCATAATCAGATGAATTTCATAAACTATTCTTGCTAGCACTATCAAATCCGCAACAAAACGCTATGGTAGAAAAACTAAAAAAGTAAGAAAACATATATCTGATATGAAAGTAAACACAACCAGAGTAGAACAATGCCAACCTAGCGCCTACAACAATTAGAAACACCTGCAATTGGCAAAGCTAACATCATTTCTCAAATAGAAAAAAAACTGGCAAATATTTTTTCTAAATGCTTAAAGCTTCATGCTTAATTTATATGTAGAAATGCTTAAAAATGCCATAAATCTTCTGTCTCTTGATCTTGGTAATTCATTATATGTAGAAATGCTTAAAGCTTCATGCTTAATTTAAATTTTGTGCTTGAGAGTTAGGATCTTAGCTGCCTCTAAATATATTTTTCACGTAGAAAAATGTCTCATGCTCAGAACATTCAAATTGTTCAAATGAAAATAGGCAGGTGAGTTGTACCTCATGAGTCTGAGAACAATCCCATGCAGTAAAATGAAATTGTTCAACAATCTCACTGTATTTGCATGTAGTAAAATGCCATGAGTTAAAAAAAAAAAAAGGACAGAATGCCATGAGTTAAAAGGATGACAGTCAGCTACCTTTAAATTAAAGAGGACAGTCTGCTACCTTTAAATTAAAAAAACTGGCAAATGAAAACCACCTGGACAACACCCAACACATCACCCAAAACAAAAAGATTAAGAAAAAAAAGTCTCCATTAATTAATACACTTTGCACACACCATTTTTGTTCAATCATTTACTATCATAATCTGCCTAACTTTGCAAAATTTTCAAATATGTGGAATTAATCCAATGCATATGCTTAGTCACAAGCTAACCATGTCTTTTTTCCTCACCATTCCATCAACTAACGATGAAGAAAATTAGGGAAAAGAAACGTAACAAAGGAGAGCAGATTTTTACTTAGCAAATCTCAAAATCAGAAACCCACTCCTGGTCCTTTTTTTTTGTCACCGAGCAACCCTTCGCTATTCATCTCCTTCATGCCAGAAAAAGGGCACTGAGTTTCTGTGAGAGTGAGAATACAGAAACTTACCATAGAAAAAAAAAAAAAAGAACAAGGAAGAAATTATCACCTGTAAACACTAATCTAAGGAATCCTGGCAACGTTTGCTGCCTGATTTTCTTTCTCCTGCTTCTCTCTCCACCATCCCTTACTATCTATTCTATTCCCACACCCCAAGGGCCATCATGCAATACATACCCTAGCACCAAGCTCCTTTTTCCTATCACCGCTTCAATCTTGCCTTGTCTGTTCAGATTTGCACACAAGCAAAGTCAGCCAATACCTTTTAAATCCTAATACCTACCATTCCTATCAAAATCAACAGAAAATGTCCGGAATAAACTTCATTCTTGATACCTAAAATCTGCACAACAGAAACAATTCAAAACAAAGAGCAAAAATTATGTACCAAGGAGAAATTAGAATCCACTCCAAATGCTAAAAGCATCCAAGCAAAGAGCACCAAAAGAAAAACAACATTCACAAGATTTTACAATGGCTGAATGCAAAACCACAGGAAGCATTGACATTCAGCTGCCCAAATCTCAAAGTCCAGCCAAAGCAGGAAAGCTATTTTCCTCTTCCATCACAATGATGAACAAAGACCAAGGAAACATGAAAATGGAAATCAATAAGCCAAAACACTGTCAGAAGACAGGAGTAAAAAGACCCAAAAGTCATGGTGCAAAACAAAAAGGGAGACAACACATTGAGGACAAAACAGAGAAAACAGTCTCTGTGAACAAGTAAGAAAGAAATCTGCTAGCAAAATGACCAAAAAGCCACAAGACTAACACTGAGAGTGAGAGATGAGCACTGAAGGCAAAAATGAAAAATGACAGTTACTGTAGCTAATGTAAGAGGGGGCCTTCCTCCCTTTAGCTATTTTGATTTTTTATTTTTTAATTCCTGTTCTGCTACATCAGGATCAGAGTTTAGTGCAGTACCCCAGAAAAACATTCAGCATACACTATGAAACGCTTCTAACAGTCCTCTCTCATACTCAGATACTAAATCAAATACAACAATATAACTTTAATGGCCACAAATATAAATCAAAATCTCAGCATAAAATTCTGTTAAATGAAAATACCAATACTAAACCATGTGATAATTATATCACTAGCAACACAAGACCCCTCATAATCACAAATATCCAATATCTCTACCAACATTAATTCCAATGGATGTGATAAAGCGTAGTGTGGTTTACCACGACGTGATCCATGCAATATATAACATATCAAAATCACAACAATCCTTTTTATGGTTTCAAAGAAACCCTTTACTAGGATATAATCTCTTTTACACTTCCTAAAGAAGTCTTTTAAATCTTATTCTAGTTTCATGAAAACTCAGGAGATTTAGCCTTCTTGAATGGTGCCCTTCGTGGTATTAGTAATAATAAATTTTATTATCACATTCTCAGGTCAAAAGGAGCTTTTAGGCAAGAAAATGCAAGGCAATGACGCACCTGCTCTTAGAACAAACATACTTTACATTGCACCAGGTCGCGCCCCTAACTTCAGAAGAGAATTGGAATTTCTCGACTTATTGTCAAGGCCGTTCGCATATGTCAACCATTTTCAAATCTTTGCCAATGACCAAGACCTCTTCATGGCAGTGATAGGGCCAGGTAACTCAGTTCTATCTTGGGTGGTCCATTCCAACTTTCAACCGGTTCATTCATCTGTACATGTTCCCCAAATGGATGTGGTTGAGCTGCGCAGAAGAGTAGAAAATATCAGAAGAGATGAGCAACTACTCATTTTGGTTCACGTGGGCCAGAACATCCCAGATATGCAGGAGCATGTTGCTATGGACTGGGCAACGAAAATACTCACAATTTATAAACATGGACATTTGGGACAGCAGATGAACCTAAATCCAAACCTCCCACCTCCTGGGCAACAGATCAGCATCAATAATGCTGTTCTAAGGCATCAACTTGAACAAATTTTTGGACCTTTCTACAATCACTCAATTGGTATTCCCTTTACGCTTTAACCCCCCTTCCCCTCCTTTTTTTTCCTTTTGATGAATTTACCATGTGCAAACTAATACACTGATTTCATTTTATGCAGACTTCCTGAGGAATGCACTACACCCAGTGACACTCACAGCAAGACAAGATGGTTCACTTGAGATCAACTCCCCTACAATGAATGAAGCACGTAACTTTGATCATGTAAACTATAACTCCTCTTCTAAAAGCTCTATCTATAACTCATATTCATTTCATCTTATTAACTTGTATAAATTTTGTTGACCAACAGAACTCTTTTGCACACCATGGAAATCCATTGGAGCAAGAAGTAAACATTACATACAGGCTACAAAGCCTCAGGTGCCTAGCTGATTATGGTGCTCGTATAATGCAACCATACACCATCCTGATGCTAACACCTCCTTTTGCATTAGTGGTGGATCATGCCTTTGTATTCCCGAATGAACCGGCATTCACCACCGATCAAATCATCCCGTGATGTCACCAATACAGTGCACAGTGCAAACAGTTTTGGGTTATGAACTACATCATCTATCATTACTGATTTCAGCATATTTCAAAACATTATTTTTGGCATGTACTGTATCGCACATATACACCTCATGTTTCATAAACCCTACTACATGGAATTAGAAATAGAATTGTAAAATAAATTGTATTGGAGGACATATAAACTTTGTTCACATATATGTATGGATATTAGTTTTACCACATTTTGCTGTCCGTTAATTATGCCTTAATACAATTGAATAAAAAAAGGCCAAACAAAGGGTAGTAGGACTACCTGGAATCCTTGGAGCAATCTCCAGTGATCCTTGCTTGCATTCCTCAAAGGCTGTCTTTCAACAGAACCTAGCAAGACAATAAGTTAATTAGATTGCTTTGAACTATGAAACTAGCCAAAAAGAACTCATGCTCAATCATCCAGCAACTCACACAGCAGTGAATCCCACAGAACCCAAGAGTAAACCCAATGTTACGGGTCAAATTGTAAATGCCAAACTGAGCTATTGTAACAATCTCTATGGGAAGGTTCATTGGCATGGATAATCCTTTGGAACATATAATGAATAATGATGAAGACTGTGTACAAGTGTTAAGGCCCAAGAAAGAAAGTGTTTGGCCTTATAGCAGTATATAACAGGATATGAGGATGTGAGATGCAAAATGAGATTATGCTGCATATGGTCCCTAAGTAAGGTTATAGAAAGTGATCTCTTGTGAGATTTTAAGAAAAGCAGGAAGACTGTAAATTGAGATTGCTAAGAGAGAAAAACATAAGCTTAACTTACTTCCAATAAAAAAGACACAGTTGAAAGAGGTATACCTTTTCTGTATACACATCTTTGGAATTGGACATAAGTTCCCTTATGACAGCTCCCGGATCTCTGCAAACCTGGCTTCACCCTCCAATAAAAAGGAAAAAGAAAAAAGCAAATCTAAGTTAGAGGTAAGACCAGAGCTAAGGTAGAACAGAGAGTCTTATACTTTAACTTTAGCAAGATCTAACCCCTTATCGTCTCCTAGACCACCAGGAGTCAAAATCTTGAGATGCTATTAAGAGATCGCATCCCGTAATCAGATCCATAAAACCCCCGATATCCGTTGGATCTGAAAATCCACCTCGACCTTCATACAGTAGATCAAAGTAGGCTCCTACGGTAGCGATGCCATGAATTGAGATCGTAGCCGAAAACAAAAGGGAATTGATTCTGATATGTTGAAATAAGGAAGATAATGAAGAAGAAAGGAGCTACGAGTTTGGATAAGGAAGATGAAAGCAAAAAATTTAGACCTGGAGCAGATCTGAATGATCATCGGAGAACGGAAACGGCCATCACAGAGAGTCTTCTCCTCGCCTACAACGCAAATGACTATATATCATGACAATGATTCTATGAATGTTCAAAATTGCCCTCTAAAACTTGTCCTTATAAGTTGGGTTTTTGGTCTTTTCACACAGCATTGCTGATAAATTGACTATTGTTAATTATATCTTGGCGTAGACAATGACAGCAAGCGGAAACTATACACAAATTATATCTTGGCGTAGACAAGGACAGCAAGCGGAAACTATACACAAATTATATCTTGGCGTAGACAAGGACAGCAAGCGGAAACAAGGACAACAAGCGAAAACAAGCACAACGAAGAGGGGATTTCTTATGAATGTTCAAAATTGCCCTCTAAGACTTGCCTTATAAGTTGGGTTTTTGGTCTTTTCACACAGCATTGCTGATAAAT